ACATAACTTGTAGGTTTCACTTTCATTTTAGCTTAAATGCCAGGTAGAAGAAAAAAAGTTTCCGTGAAGTAACACACTTTATACAAATGTGTATGTAAGCAAAATTAGCCTCCTCCCGGTAATGCAGAGGTAAGCTTGAGGACTTATAAACTCTTAAATTCTGAGTTTGATCAAGGACTAATCCCACAGCAGATTAGAAGCTTTCCGTAAAAATATATAGAAAACAGGCCTATTCCACAGCGTGGTTCCAAGCCTTCCGTAGAAATAGGCGTATATCAATGATCAATCTTGTTTAAGAACCATTATGAACACTGTTGTTTATAAACACGAATAATAAATAGTTAAGATGCTAGACGGCGTTTCACAAAGAGCCAGCTCACTGATTTTTTTTTTTTTTTTTATATTCAACATGTCTGCCACCGTTTTACAGGGATGCATGCATACAAGCACTAAACAAGGTTATCACACGCAATGTGCACTTTCTAGCGTGACTGACTTCGCTATTATTTGTTTAGTGGTTATTCTGCACTGGAAATAAGTAGGCTTACTTATTTTGATACACCCTGTACTTATCCTACGAATTCTTATAATACGCTTGTTCAAGCGAGAAGAATTACAACTGGTACAATAGACGTATTCCTCTTAGATGTACAATTGAACAATTTCAGTTATAAAAATACAAAAATTCTTTCCCAAAACAACTTAGTAGTAAAAGACTTATTTCGAAAGTGGTCAATTACTCGAATATTTTGTCTTCTGTTAAAGACTTTCTTTAAAAACGCTTTCTTCAACTAACATTTTAAAACTAGTTACCACGCTTTAAAATACAATTCGCAATCGATTTGTCGAGACTACCATCTAGTATTTTAACGGCCTTTTACGTATTAATGGCTTTTTCTCTCTCTCTCTTTGTAGTAATTAAGTAAAATAAACAGTAGGCATGTTTATGTACGATCTTTTCTGACGTAAGTTCATGGCAATTCAAAATTGTTATTTGTCCTCTTCGTACACTAATACAACCAAGAAATTACATCAGAGTCCGTAATGATAAGCAGACGATATGACAGAGATTCGTACATTGTTCTAAACAACTCGTTAGAAATGAATTGGAAAGTTCCAAGGTGCTTACATTCATATGCAAATTACCTACAAGTACATAAGTGTGATATATAAATATATATGCTAACAAGAATATGGTTAAACATCCATAAAATATTTAATAAAAATGTTTCTAAAACTCAGCTTTGTTTTATTACTGTAAAGTATTAACGAAAACTAAAATAGTGATACTCTTTAATACAAATGTCTCTAAAATTAAGCCTTGTTTTTATCACTGTAAAATATTAACGAATACTTTTTAATACAAATGTTGCTAACATTGTTTCTTTGATTATTATTTGAAGCGTTAAGAATATATATATATACATATCTAGGCCTATTGTTCGTATCTAATCGCATTTGTCCGTGTTATTAATGCAGTTGTGTCGTAAGTGTAAGGTTATGAGTAATATACATTGATAATTATTGTCTACATTTTTACCTATTTATACATAAACTAATAAAATAAGAATCTCGTAATTCATCCGTCACTATACCTTTCCCATTGTCCTTGTTCTTGGTGTAGCAACTCTGATATTTAGGCTTAATTACATGTGCTTAGTTGTAACTTGCACGTGTTTACTTTACCGATATGAATTGGAATAATATATATCATACTTATGCATAATAACTGTGTCACCACGACATTATAAACAAGAGGGAATCCTCAATAGCCCAGCTTTAATTAGCTCTCAAATCGGTCAAGAAATGGAGCTATGAGCTAAAAGTTTGTACTTGAAAATACTCGGAGCCATTCTATGAGCCGTTATGCCGCAGCTAAAAATATTTAAAGATCGAGCTGGGTTATTCATAATAACGACGGAATTTAAAAGAGTTTATAAAACTATATTTGTCTAATTGTTGTTACATTACAATTAAGTAAACACTTCTACCTAACTATTATGTATTATTTAAAATGTATAAAAACCTTCAGGATTTATTCCATGTCATAATAATGAAACTCAAACGAAATTCAACATGTTGCTGTTACTTTACTTAATACTGAACTACATAGGTTATTGTTACCTTACTTCTCACTGAAGTACACATGTTACTGTTACCTTACTTCACACTAAACTACATAGGTTACTGTTACCTTATTTCACACTAAACTACACATGTTGTGGTATGTTACTTCAGATTAAACTATATATGTTGTTGTTACCTTACTTCACACTAAACTACACATGTTGCTGTCACCTTACTTCACCCTAAACTATACATGCTGCTGTTACCTTACTTTACACTGAACTACAAAAGTTGCTATAACCTTACTTCACATTATACTATACATGTTTCTCTTACGTTACTTCACACTAAACTACACATGTTGATGTAACCTTACTTCACAATAAACTACACATGTTGCTGTTACCTTGTTTCACACTAAACTACACATGTTGTTCTTACCTTACTTCACAATAAAATACACATGTTGCTGTTATCTTACTTCACACTAAATTACATATGTTGTTTTTTTACTTCACATGCTGCTACTCTCTTACATTTCAACATTTAATGTTTGAGCACTCAATACTAAAGTAACACAAAGGTTATTGTTCTAATGATGTACACTTCATTACTGCAACATTTAATGTTACAATACTCAACTATAAAATACCACAAAGAGTATTATTCTAATGCTTTACATTACAGTACTACAACGTTGTTTTGACACCCAACACTACACTACCTGAAAGGTTATTATTTTAGTACTCTATAATACAATGCTTCAAAATTTAATGTTTCAGTATTCAACAACACCGTACTACAATATTTAATGTTTCAATACTTAACATTACCGTACCATAAACCTTATTGTTCCAATTTGTACACTAAAGTACTACAATGCTCAACGTTTCGATAATGAGCACTACAGTGTCACAAAGTTTATTGTTCAAATTCTCTACTCCACACTGCCTCAAAATTGAATATTTAACTACTTTACATTTAAAACCCTACGTATGTTACTCCATACGCTAAACTACTCAAACGTTATTATTCAATTCATCCATCTTTGATTTTATTATTTATGAAATAATAGCATGCACTCATGCGATTGGTAGAAATTTTACTACAACAATGGCCTAAGCTTCCATCGAAACTTGCATTTGGATTTCAACTCGTTTGAGTATAGCTATTGAATAGGCTTAAGAGATAATCTCTTGCTAATATCTGTCGTTGAGTAATTAGTCAGGTCCGCAGGAGTTATTACGTATACGTGACAGCAAGAAAGATGAATCAACTTCGCTGGGAATTTACCAAAACTCAAGTGTAAAAATATGAATAATATTTAAAAAATCTTTAGCAATTCAGTAACGTGTTACAAAGTCGAGAGTTTAAACTACTGGACTATTATTACTTTAGGCACTTCAAAGTAACACTATAACATTAAAATTATTTAATGTAATAAAAAAGGACCGTATCCTGCCTAAAGAAATAGCATTTAGAATTTTAAAAAACTCCATTTTTAATGTGACAGAAAGAAATATAATCGAATAAGCTGTTGTGAAAAATGTTTTTTAGCGCAAAACTGCACAAAATAAGCTACCCGCACCGTGTCCCGCACCGAATTCTATCATTATGTGCAAATTTTACATGAATCTGGTACCTACAGTAACATGATACAGAAACTTAAGATTACGTTTTGAACAAAGAAACTAACTTGTTCTTTTTGTTCTTGCTATTATACCATAAAATAGTTATTCATCAGATTCTTATTTCCATGTTTTGATTCAGTAATCTACAATAGGAACGCGTATTCAGAGTTACTCGATCTGGATAGTTCAAAATATCCTTTTTTACAGACTTGTAAAGTTTTCCATAAAAAAGCTAACACAAAACATCGTTCATTAAAACCTTTAAAAGCGTGATTAACCATCCTTAGAATTATTACAATATGCTTAACAACGTTCACAATAATAACCAGAATTTCGTATTTTTCTTTCTCTTATTCGAGCATATAACATGTGTATAGTAGGTTAAGTCATTTATAACAAATTTTATCTTTGCATTTGTTGTTCAAACAGTTCTGCTCCACGGGCGAGTACTTAACTCCCTAAATACATACATTTAAACAACTCCCTAAAACATACGCCTAAACAATTCTCTAAATACCTACATCTGAACATCTCCCTAAATACATACACCTAAACAGCTCCCTAAATACATACACCTAAACAGTTTCCTTTTTAAAATCAGCTGGAAATTTGTTTTTGAAGTTAAGCACAAAGCTACACAAAGGGATATATGTGATCTGCCCACCACGGGTATTGAAACCCGATTTTATGGGTTGTAAGTCGGCAGACATCCCGCTGTGCCACTGGGGGGCAGAAATAAGGAGCTAAGAGAAAACAATATGTTGTTATTATATATTAACAAAACTGATTTTTTTTTGCGTCTTATACAAGCTAAATAAATCAGACCTTTATGTATTTAATGTTCTGTATTTTTACGTGCAACTATCATAAATAAATATTTTATATTCAATTATTCAAAAATATTCAAACAAATTGTGATAGTTTTATTTCTTGTTAAAGCTTTTAAATTTAACTTTAAAATTTGCGATAACATCGAATAATTGGATATCATTATTTTCAATGCATAGAAACTGATGTAGTGCGAATAACTTAATGATATAACAGGAATCTTACTGGGTTAGTTTTCACAGGATTAAGTAGAAAAATCAAATATTCTCCACTTCTCTTATCTGTTGATATATGTATCGGTCAACATAATTCGTGTTTTCACATATCCAAGCCCTCAGTTCCTTCTTAATCCGAATATTGGTAGCATTAAATGAATATATATATACATATAAATGAACACTCTTACGATGACATAATGGTCTCTTAGAAATATAATGTACTTAAATCTTTATAAAACGTTAAAATTTGACCTACTATATCCTCTTGGAAGGCTGGAACTCGGCTATTGCTAATCACAACGATTTCCATTCAAAACAGTCTTCTTCTGGGATCTGCACACGGAATAAGCGAAAAGAGCCGAAATGAGTTTATAGGTGCTTTTGAAATAAAGTCCAATTAATGAACCAGTTCATTACAAACCATTCGCAAAAACCAAAGCTGTACCGTCTATTTTTTATCTTTTTAAACTTACAATATTCTGTACACCAGATGCCAATTTAGCCAGTCATTTTCCCCTCTGTTTGTGTAGCTCTGTCAGCCTGCGGACTAGTGACTGCCAGATCCCGGCGGGACAGTTGAGATTCTTTTATTACGGTTCCACCGAGTGAGGATCTCAGCAGAGCACGAACTTCACAGCGGTTCCTCTACAACTTTACCTAGCGTTAGTGAACGTTGACAAAAACTTCGTAGACGGGTCTGTGCAGTGTTTTTTACAGATAGCAAAGGAGAATTATTTGTCGCTATAAGTTCTCTTCTTAACTCCACCTAAATGTCCCAAATCTGAGAATATAGAATAAGGTTCGGAAACAGGCTTGTCTCTCACTTGAATGATAACTTGCATCTAAACGCACACATCACGCCCGCTGTTTGGGCGGGTTTGTCTACGCGGGCTAAACGCTCACGAGCTGTGACGACATAACATTGCTCGTTCACGCATTGGGTTGCCACGAGCTCCACACTGACTGGCAGGATATCATGAGGTATTTAATGACACGAGTACAAAGAAAGATTATTCATTTGTTCTTTTTTCTTTTTTCCTTTACTGCTATTATTGACACAACCAAACGAAAAACTGAATACCACCTTTAATCCTCAGGTCCATGACATAGCCGCAATTTAAGCAACCTGAATTACCTTCTTTACAAACAATGATGACATGCACAAAGTTCCTATTTTTTCACTTCCCAAACAACTGTCATTTCACGCTCGCGCTGGGCAATGCAACCACTGTTCTAACATTTGTCAAACCCTGTGTCAAGAGTTTGTTGAAACATGACTTCTTTTTACCATAACTCTTTTACAATGGAACAGAAAAGTGTGAAGAAAATGCTTCAACCTCTGCTAACTTAAAGTATTCTTCATCTGTGTTTTTAACAACTACAAGTGTTTGGATTCCCGGACGTGTAGCTCTTGAGCAGAACCAGTTTTAATTTGACTTGACCTAATATATATTATTCTGGATAAATTTTTAATTTTAAAATATCCATGTTTCAGTTCATGAGCAAGATTAGATTGACTGAAACTAACATACCTTGTTTCGTATTCAATGCTGCGACTTGAAATATCTTATCCTGATAGAAATTTCATTTTATTGCGTCTAACATACTGTACTTTCAAATAATTTCACAGCGCTTGCGCAAACGTTGGTTTTTCAAATGGTTAAACTATTATAAGCCTTACATGAAAAATCTGAGCTTTCGATGATCTACTACAGACATTTCAAATCTTACTAGCACAACTTGTCATACCGATGTTTAAATGTTTCGAATTGGAAATTCATAAATATTTTATTGTCGTACAATGTCAAAATGTTTAACGAGTTTGTTCAGATGATCAGATTTTTGAGGTTAATCTTGTAAATTCCTGCCAGTAGCATATTTTTGCTCATCAGGCTCTGTTTTTATAATGCATGGCACTACAAATAACCTGTAATTCCTGATAGATCAAAGTCTCGAATGATAAACAATGATGAATGAAACAACACCAACCCGTTATTTTAAATACTTATATGTCAGGAGCATCACCACGTGTCTAATCATATTAGAAATACTTTGAACAATGGTAAGTTAAAAAACCAAGAACTAATTTTGTGAACAAGGGAAAACCATTATGGCGCTCATCAATTTAGATTAAGAAAATCAAGAAACTGGCATTCCAAGCAAATAAAATGTTCTTTTGAAGTCCTACGACACACAAATACAATGGAACTATTTATTGAGAAGGCTTCGAATTATCGGCCTTAGAGTCACTTTGAAACTATACTCCCGCTTGTACTCCTACTTTTCGAAGTATTAATTAAATAATTATTACAAACACGGGTTTTAATACCTTAAATTCTACTTTTATTTGACGCATTACATAAACTTTTACTGTCAATTAAGAAACTGTATTTATGCGTATAATAATGAGCCGAGTTTCTTGGGAAAATTATACGGGACAGACAGAAAATTTTGGAATTCGTACATGAACACATAAGAAATCAGCGAAAATAGTCCTGTTCCTCGTTTAAATCACTTTTATAAAAGTTTCACAAAATATTATGGAATATTAATCACGATGAAAAAATTAGCACAGAAGAGAACCAAAAAATCATCAAGTAGATTTCAAAAGACACAAAGCGTTTTCCAATGGTTGAGTATTCTTTTTCAGGGAGTAAAAAAAGGTTGTGGTGAATGAAGATAACCTTATTTTCTATGTTTCCCATTATGGAAATGTGATAATTTACAAATTATACTGGAATATGAAAAATATATATTAATAAATAATGTTCCATTTAGATAATTCTGAAATATGTATTAGTATCTTTAGATTTTTATTCAGAAATTTAACTTTTTAAGCATTTTATTGAAGAGATACAAACTGAAATAATAAAATTTTTATAAACCTATATAAATTCTATTCAGGACTTTACAATTAATTGATTTGCAGATTTAAGAAGCCGAAGAGCAGTCAAACGATAATTACTTTTTAGATTTAAGAAATTAAGGAGTAGTCGAATGATAATTACTTTTTAGATTTAAGAAATTAAGGAGTAGTCGAATGATAATTACTTTGTAGGTTTAAGAAGTAGTCGAATGATAATAACTTGGTAGGTTTAAGAAGTAGTCAAATGATAATTACTTTATAAGTTTAAGAAGTAGTCGAATGATAATTACTTGGTAGGTTTAAGAAGTAGTCAAATGATAATTAGTTTGTAGGTTTAAGAAGTAGTCGCATTATAATTATTTTCTAGGTTTAAGAATTAGTCGAATGATAATTACTTAGTAGGTTTAAAAAGTAGTCAAATGATAATTACTTGGTAGGTTTCAGAAGTAGTCGAATTATAACTACTTTGTAGGTTTAAGAAGTAGTCGAATGATAATTATTTTCTACGTTTAAGAAGTAGTCGAATGATAATTATTTTCTAGGGTTAAGAAGTAGTTGAATGATAATTATTTTCTAGGTTTAAAAAGTAGTTGAATGATAATTACTTGGTAGGTTTAAGAAGTAGTCGCATTATAATTACTTTGTAGGTTTGAGAAGTAGTCGAATAATAATTACTTGGTAGGTTTAAGAAGTAGTCGCATTATAATTACTTTGTAGGTTTACGAAATAGTCGAATTATAATTATTTTCTAGGTTTAAGAAGTAGTCGAATGATAATTACTTTGTAGGTTTAAGAAGTAGTCGCATTATAATTATTTTGTAAGTTTAAGAAGTAGTCGAATGATAATTACTTGGTAGGTTTAAGAAGTAGTCAAATGATAATTAGTTTGTAGGTTTAAGAAGTAGTCGAATGATAATTACTTGGTAGGTTTAAGAAGTAGTCAAATGATCATTACATTGTAGGTTTAAAAAGTAGTCGAATGATAATTACTTGGTAAGTTTAAAAAATAGTCAAATGATAATTAGTTGGTAGGTTTAAGAAGTAGTCGAATGATAGTTACTTTGTAGGTTTAAGAAATAGTCGAATGATAATTACTTGGTAGGTTTAATATATAGTAAAATGTTAATTACTTTGTATGTTTAAGAAATAATCGAATGATAATTACTTTTTAGGTTTAAGAAGTAGTAATGATAATTACTTGGTAGGTTTAAGAAGTAGTCAAATAATAATTACTTTGTAGGTTTCAGAAGTAGTAGAATGATAATTATTTTCTAGGTTTAAGAAGTAGTCGAATGATAATTACTTTGTAGGTTTAAAAAACAGTCGAATGATAATTACTTTGTAGGTTTAAAAAGTAGTAATGATAATTACTTGGTAGGTTTAAGAAGTAGTCGAATGATAATTACTTTGTAGGTTTAAAAAATAATCGAATGATAACTACTTTGTAGGTTTAAGAAGTAGTAATGATAATTATTTGGTAGGTTTAAGAAGTAGTCAAATGATAATTACTTGGTAGGTTTCAGAAGTAGTAGAATGATAATTATTTTCTAGGTTTAAGAAGTAGTAATGATAATTATTTGGTAGGTTTAAGAAGTAGTAATGATAATTACTTGGTAGGTTTAAGAACT